CCTCAAACAAGCAATTTACTCTAAATTTGCCGAATGCCTTTTTCTGGCACTCGGCAAAGCCGTATTTTGCCGAGTGCCTATGTTTTGGCACTCGGCAAAGAGGCATTTTGCCGTGTGCATTTTTTTGGCCCTCGGCAAATCAGTTTTTCGAATCAATTTTTGAGGGCCTAAATGAATTCAAATGAAAAACTTTTCAACTACAAAGTTGTATAACTTCTTAAGATCTACAAAGTTTATTTTGGTCATTTCTTCATTTGACAAAGCGACAATAACGTTGTTTATAAAATCTACATCTCTCATATTAGTTTCATGAAAGTAAAAGAGATGATATATATGATTTGTGAACAATGTTACTACCACTATGTCGGATGAACAAATGACCAAAATAAACTTTGTAGATCTTGAGAAGTTATGAAATTTTGTAGTTGGCAACATTTTGATTTGAAATCATTTTGTCATGCAAAAACGACGTTTGAATTTAAAAATTTTAAAATTTGAATTTTTCAAAAGACCTCGGATGGAAAAACTTCCTAAATAAAAATTGTAGATCTCCAAAAGTTATGAAACATTGTAGTTGGCAACTTTTTGATTTGAAAACATCTTGTCATGCAAAACTGCGCTTGAATTTCAAAATTTTAAAATCCAAATTTTATAAACGACCTCGGATGGAAAAACAACCAAAATAAACTCTGCAGATCTCGAAAAGTTATGAAACATTATAGTTGGCAACTTTTTGATTTGAAAACATCTTGTCATGCAAAACTGCGTTTGAATTTCCAAATTTTAAAATTCAAATTTTGTAAACGACCTCGAATGGAAAAACTTTCTAAACTAAAAGTGTAGATCTCGAAAAGTTATGAAACTTTGTAGTTCATAACTTTTTTATTTGAATTCGTTTAGGGCCTCAAACAAACAATTTACACTCGGTTTAGTATAATATATTAGGAACTAAAACGGAATCCAGACACAAGTGACAGTGTGGTGTAGTGGTAGAGGAGGTTTGTGCGCAGCGGGAGGTCTCGGGTTTGAATCCCGTCGGCCGCGTAGCCGTGAAATTTACGCGAAAAAAGCCGGAGATGGATGGGCACTGACCAGTGGGGGCCTCCACCAATTAAAACAAATTTTTCATTTTTTTGGGGTAAAAATTCCTATTTTTCGGGTTTTTTTCGGTTCCAACTTTGCCGAGTGTCGGGCACTCGGCAAAGGCTTTGCCGAGTGTCGATTTTTGGCACTCGGTAAAGAAATTTTTGCCGATAAAATCTTTGCCGAGAGACCTTTGCCGAGTGCGGCACTCAGCAAAGCCTTTGCCGAGTGCTTGGCTGGCTTTGCCGAGTGAGTGGTGAACATTGACCTTGACACAAGATGTCCAGTCTGTAAGAGATTTGATGAGGATGGAGGTCATTGTTTTCTGAAATGTAGAGGTGCCCGTCACTGTTGGAGGGAGTTGAACCTTGAAGACACACGGGGAAACTGTTAATAGAAGAGAGTTCAAGGGAGTTTGTGGGAGAAATCCTGAACCTCAAGCCGGACCTGTTGATGTTAGATTGTGATCTAAGTCACACACCAGCGAGGGCTAGCTCGCCCTAGGTTGCACACAACTTGAAACACGCAGCAAATAATTCCAAGAACGACTAAACCGATCTAGAGAACTATTAGGCCGATCTAGAGCTTGTCCAACGCCCCAAAAGCCTAGGAACGCCTCCCGGGAGGACCCATCGGGGAGGAGCATGCCTAGGGTTGTTCTAGGACCAGCAAGGCCGCCTAGAACGCCGATGAATCTCGCGGAGATTCAACGAATAGCAGGAGGGTTGGAAAAATGGTAAATCTAGGTAGTAGATATATTTTTTGACGATTGGATAGATGGAACTCAATCGGTCATGATCCTCTCATATATATAAAGGGGTGATCTTATCCTAATAGGAAACCTCTCCGAGACTTATTTTCTAAGTTTTCCACGAGTTTGCTAAAGTTGGGATCGAGTTTGGACTCTCCCTGATTCGTACTGCGAAAATAAGCCAGCACCTCCGGGCGAACATCAGAAGTTCTAACAGGGGTCAGAAGTTCTGATTTTCGCGCAAACTCAAAACCTCCCAGCGAAAATCCTGACAGGGGGTCAGAAGTTCTGGTAGGGTGAGATTTTTCCTGAGGGAATAACTCCTTCATTCAGACTTCGGAATGCCATGGTTTAGTCCATCCTACATTTTTCCTACATTTCGATGACTTCATATAATGGACAATTTTGATTGTCACAGGGACTATTGTGCCCAAATTTTCTTGCTACTGTGGAAGTGGTGGATATGCAAAATAAGGTGAATGCTGGGGAGCAGCAGCTATCATGTGCTATGGTGACCAGGGGAGTACTCACTTTTGAAGATCAGCGGAAGAATGAGAGGCCCAAAGCTGTGTCCAATGCCGGTGCTAGTTTGAAGTGGAGAGCACCTACGATGAATTGCCTGAAAATCAATTTCGACGGGGCCTTCTACCCAACTTCGAAAGAGGGGGCCTGTGGTTTCATCATCCATGATCATACGGGGGAGTCTGTGCTGGCTGGAGCAGGGAACGAAGGACCAGTTTATGATGCTCTGATGGCTGAATCTGTAGCTTGCCTGAAGACCCTGGAGATAGCGGAACAACATGGGATATCGCAGATCATGCTCGAGACCGACTCAAACCAGCTGGTGGATGCCCATCTGAACCACTTCGAGGGACCTCAGTCCAAGTGGAATGCTCTTCAAGGCCATTCGTGATTTGCCTTTTGATCACTTTGCTAGTTCAAATTTTGTACATGTTCCACGCTCTTGTAATTGGCTACGCATGTGATAGCTCAATCTGCAAGGCCATGGCATCCGGGACAATTGCATATCTGGACGAATACGTTTCCAAACCTTGTAATAAATGATGTGGTAGCTCATGATTCAGCTGAGCTTGATGTTCTTAATACAAGGCCGTAAAAAAACTAACAACCGTTTGGTGCTACGAAAAGCTCAAAGCTGATGACTTCGGTGTTCGGTTCCTCGGTTTGGTGTTCACGGAACATCACCGGACAGGCGAACAACGACGAAAAAAATGTGGCAGGGATGCTAAGACAATACTAAAAACTAGTTAAAAAAACAATACTAAAGATAGCTGGTTTGCACAACGACCCATGAGCGGTGGAGCCTGCTGTGCTCCACGTTCTTGGCTTCTTTCTGGTTGCAGCCGTCGGCGGCAGGAGCAGGACTGCAGCCTGCAGGCTTGCCCAAACGGCTAGGCGCTTGCTCCCTCAAGTCGCGCGCGCGGGGGAGGCTGATGCGGAGGTGCTGCAGAGCCAGATGCGCTGCCCGTGGAGCCTGCCGATCCGTCTCTCTGCGCTTCCGCCGTGCCGCCGCCGCCGATGTCGGAGCGTGCGGTTGTGCGGGCAGAGAGGTAAAGGGATCGCGGTCTGGGACTCGGGGTGTGGGCTGTCGAAGTGGGCTGAAGGGAGTTATGGACCGTGGAGTTGATTGGTTGTGCGTGCAGCGCTAATACGGTGCATCGGTTCGGTGCAACGTCAAAACCAACGCAAAGCCGATCACCAAAGTTGCCAGAAATTTAAACTGACACCAAAAACCAAACAACCGTCGACGTGAAATCTATTGGCCCTGTTCGCTGGACTACTTCAGCAATACTTTTTAGCGAACGAACGGTGTTTTTCTCTCATAATAAATCAACATAAATCAGTATTATCTCAGTTTGATTTTGAGCGGAAATTGCTATTCCACGGTTAGTATGCTTGCTTAAAACACGTGTTTGGTTGGCCTGTCGCAGCGTTCTTACACCCGCTGGCTGTATAAATGCAACTATGCAAGCTGAGTTGAGTCTGTAACAGTGATTAATAATGGGTGTGTTTGGTTGGGTGGCTAACATCTAGTTTGGCTCCCTGAAACCGATTTTGATCTGTTTGGTTGCCTGAAAGTGGTCTGTGGCCTAGCTAGGGCTGGCCATCCGTACCCTTTAGCCTGCCCAAGATTGAACGCCCGAATTGGTCATTCTCCTGGAGCCTGGCTTGGGTTAGCCTCTCTTCTCAGTTCGTGTCACCTCTATGTGGTGCGAGCGCTCCTCACCTCCTCGCTCGCGCATTGCCGCTCCTCCTGCCGTTCCTCCACGCCCCCGCTCCGCGCCTCCCATCTCCGCAGCCAACTCGAAGAGGACGACGATGGTGCTACAGCCACCACTCCGCCCATGATCGTGCCCGCCCCCGGCTCAGCCTCGCACTCCCTCCTCCCCTGCTCCTCTCTACCGACGGCAGCCTTGCTCCCCATCCCTGGCTCCGCACGGACACGCCCGACGCCGGTGCCAGGTCACAGAATGACGTCGCACGATCGAGGTCCAGGGCCATGAGTTGGTGGAGCCGACGGTCGACGTGGGCGACACTAGCAGCGGGCACGACACCCACGGCGCCGGGCGCCTCACCGTCCCTGCAGAGGAAGACGACACACGTGAGGCGGCCACGGTGGGTCCAGTTTCAGCGTCCCCTCGTTTCAGCGGCAATTTTTTTTTCCTTTTGATTTGATATTCGGTGGCGAACTGGGGATTGATGTTATGGTAGTGGAGGATTTTGTGGTGGTGATGCTGCAAGCCATGGGAGCAAGGATGATAAGGTCGCCACTATAGAGAAGAGGTAGCAGCACCAACTAATCCAGGCAACCAAAAATTAACTTTGCCAGGCTTGGCTAGCCCATGACAACCAAACATTACTAGGGTGGCTTGACTTGGACAGGCTAACTCAGGCCTCGCTTATTTTTCTAGCCAGGCTAGGTAGAGCCACATAGCCAAACACACCCAGTATGAATCTGTCTGAGCATACTAGTACACGCACACGTTTAATAAAAGCTATTGGCAACACAACTTGTACATATGAAGATTTATCGGGTTCTATGAATAGCTCAAAACAGCATTCTAGGAAATCTGTGCCATGCTTACATCAGCCAAATAGCATATATGCCAGCTTTCAATAGTTACATGAGTGTTCCTACGTATCATTACTTCTTCCTAGTACTCTCTTCTGCTAACTCTTCTATAATTTGTCCGGCCTCAACAAGCAACTCCTGCAACCCCGTCATCTGTGGAAACGGATGTATCCGTTGAACCATAACGGTGAGCTTCCTCAGGCACATCATGTAGTCCTGCTTGACAGCCTTTTTTACTAACCTTCGTGTATGAGGCTGCAAAAACAAATGACGCGTTAAAGCAGCCATTTAATTAGGATAACCGTGCTGGTATACGGTCAATACATGCATGGATGAGGATCCAATTCATACCTCTTTGTAAAGTGAAATACACTTATGCAGAACATCTTCAACAGATCTATAATCTTGCTCCTGAAATTGAAGGGAACAAATGGTCAAGTTGTAAGCTTCACTAGCAATTCCCGCTTCCAAAATGAGGTTTCAAGTGCCTAATTACAGCCATTGAAAAAAATGCCAAAAATTTGTGTTCCATCTCATGGAGCATAACAATACCTTTCGAACAATTATGTCATCTGATTGTGACATCTATTATACAACAATAATTAAATCAAGAAAACATATATCTAGTCAATTTACAAAAATATAGTGTGCCAGACCTTTCCAAACTTATTTTTAAAATGAATTCGCAGTGTGCTATATCCGACATATATGATATTTGTGCCGGTCCATATAATTGGCCGAGGTGTGCCTGGTATATGTACAGCATCAATTTTGAAGGATTCATGCTTCAAATGTTCCAGGGATAAACAAGCTAAGATTAAAAAACAAAGTGGTGGAAACTGAAAGGGGAGAAGTCAGAGGTATTCAGGGAAAGAGTTATCAAAGATGGCTCTTGGAAGAAAGAAGAGGACATAAACAACATGTGGGAGAAGATAACAACCAATATCCGGAAGGTGGCCTCAGAGGTGTGTGGAGTAACCAAAGAAAGTGAAGACGAGGCTAAAGATACTTGGTGGTGGAACGAGGAAGTCCAAAGGGCTATTAAGGAGAAGAAAGAATGTTATAGACGCTTGTACCATGACAGGAGTGTGGACAACATAGAGAAGTACAAGGTGGCAAAGAAGACTGCAAAGCGAGCTATAAGTGTGGCAAAGGGTAGAGCGTACAAGGATCTTTACCAACATTTGAGTACGAAGGAAGGAGAGAAGGACATTTATAGGATAGCTAGGGTTTGTGAGAGAAAGACAAAGGACTTCAATCAAGTTAAGTGCATTAAGGATGAAAGAGAGCATATCTTGGTGAAGGAGGATGAGATCCGACATCGATGGCAAGAGTATTTTGACAAATTGTTCAATGGTGAGAATACGAACACAACATTTTAGTTGGATGACTTTTTTGATGACACCAATAGACGTTTTGTGTGGAAAATCCAAGAATCTGAGTTCAGAGAGGCGTTGAAAAGGATGAAAGGAGGTAAGGCGATGGGACCGGATGGTATCCCAATCGAGGTGTGGAGATGCCTCGAAGACATAGCTATAGTATGACTAACCAACCTGTTCAACCATATTTTTCGATCGAACAAGATGCCTGACGAGTAGAGAAGTATATTGATACCGATCTACAAGAATAAAGGGGATATTCAAAGTTGTACTAATTACCGGGGAATTAAGTTGATGAGCCATACTATGAAGCTCTGGGAGAGAATTATCGAGCATCGCTTGAGAGCAATAATGCGGGTCTCTATGAACCAATTTAGTTTCATGCACGGTAGGTCAACCATGGAAGCAATTTTCTTAATAAGACAAGTCATGGAGCGGTATATGGAGAAGAAATACCTACACCTGGTTTTATTGACTTGGAGAAGGCTTATGACAAAATACCAATGAATGTTATGTGGTGGGCTTTGGACAAACATAAAGTCCCAACGAAGTACATCGAGCTCATTAAGGACATGCACAATAATGTTGTGACTAGTGTTCGAACAAGTGATGGAGACACGGATGACTTCCCGATTAGGATAGGACTACATCAAAGGCCAGCTTTGAGCTCTTATCTGTTTGTCTTAGTGAAGGATGAGGTCACAAGGGACATACATGGGACATCCCTTGGTGTATGCTTTTCGCGGACGATGTAGTGCTAGTTGATGAAAGTCGGACAGGAGTGAATCAGAAACTGAAGTTACGACGGGACACTTTGGAGTCCAAAGATTTTAGACTCAGTAGAACTAAAACTGAGTATATAAGATTTGACTTCGGCACTACTACTCGGGAGGAGGAAGATATTAGTTTGAAAGGTCAAGTAGTGCCTAGGAAGAATACCTTTCGATATTTAGGATCAATGCTACAGAGAGACGAGGATATTGATGAAGATGTTAGCCATAGAATCAAAGCAGGGTGGATGAAGTGGCACCAAACATCTGGTATCCTATGTGACAAAAGAGTAACACATAAGCTAAAAGGTAAGTTTTATAGGACGGCGATTAGACCTGCTATGTTGTATGGTGCAGAATGTTGACCTACGAAAAGACGACATGTTCAATAGATAAGTGTTGCGGAAATACGTATGTTGCGTTGGATCTGTGGTTATACAAGAAGGGATCGAGTTCGGAACGATGATATACGTGATAGATTAGGGGTAGCACCAATTAAAGAAAAGTTTATCCAATACCGGTTGAGATGGTTTGGACATGTCCAACGGAGACCTCCAGAGACACCGGTGCGTAGTGGAATCCTAAGCCAGAATAGTAACGTGAAGAGAGGCAGAGGAAGACCGAAGTTGACTTGGGTAGAGACAATAAAAGGAGACTTGAAATGATGGAATATACCCAAAGACTTAACCTTAGATAGGAGTTCTTGAAAAACAGCTATTCACATGCCTGAAACTTGATTGCTTCTGCTAGGTTTCAACTCTAGCGTACCCCAACTTGTTTGAGACTTAAAGACTTTTTTGTTGTTGTTGTTGCATGCTTCAAATGTTCCAGTGGAAGCCTTAGCAAGAGTACCAACTACTAACGAGAACATGGTATATTAGAAAGAAAATATATTGCATATAACATAATTCAGCAGTTGCCGATGCATAAATAAAGTTTCCAAAAAGAAAATTACCCCTTGCCCTAGCACAGACTTCGCTGTAACATCAATGAATCCAATAACAATAAGTGCTTGCAGCTGCACATGTAATACATAGTATTATCAATTAAAAACCGATATAATACAAACAGAGTTAGGCGAATATAGTTAACGACAATAAAAACCAACATAAGCCTTATTTTCACCATTTTTTAAAAAAAAATGTTATCAAAAGAACCTTCGAAAAGGACAGGGAGTTCCTATAGTTCATTTAAGGAAGAATTGACCCGGTTTATTAGATAAACTAGGCCCACAAATCATACAACTGCACGGTTAATTAAGGAAAACCAGCGAAAACCTAAACACAACTGCCCACCATGTGTCATTGTTGCTGATATGACCAGCGTCACTTACCAACGTCAGGCCCGGCCCAGTGGCTAGGCCACGCCGGTGGCAAAGGGACCTAGGTGTCCAGATTAGCTATCTTTAGATATTATTTCCTATTTTCATAATTACAGGATTGTGATTGATTTGCTTGTAAGGTGGAGGGGATAAATCCCCTTGACTCTTTTGGAAATAATTAAGCAAAGCAATAATCTTTACTTGGCCTAAAGGGCTAGACTTCGAAAAGACCTTTGCACCAGTGGCAAGACTTGAAGCAATTCGAATGCCTCTAGCCTTTGTTGTCCATCATGATTTCAAGCTCTATCAAATGGATGTAAAGAGTGTATTTCTCAATGATCCACTCTCCGAGCTAGTCTATGTGGAGCAACCACCGGGATTTGAAGATCCTAAGCATCCTCACCATGTCTACAAACTTCATAAGACGCTCTATGGGCTTAAGCAAGCACCAAGAGCATGGTATGAATGCCTTAAGGATTTATTACTCCAGCAAGGCTTTGAAATAGACAAAACCGACACTACTCTCTTCACAAGAAAGATTAAGAATTATATATTTGTGTGCCAAATATATATCGATGACATAATATTTGATAGTACTAATCAAACTCTTTGTGAGAAATTTAGTAGGATTATGACAAAGAGGTTTGAGATATCCATGATAGGTGAAATGACGCTCTTCCTCAGGTTTCAAATCAAGCAATTGAAGGAAGGGACATTCATATGTCAAACGAAATACACAAGAGAGATACTCAAGAAGTTTGACATGGCAAATGCTAAACCCATCAAGACACCTATGCCAACAAATGGGCACTTGAACTTAGATAAAGATGGGAAAGCCGTTGACCAAAAGATATATCGTTCCATGATCGGCTCTCTACTTTACTTGTGTGCATCTAGACCAGATATTATGCTTAGCGTGTGGATGTGTGCTAGATTTTAAGCTAACCCGAAAGAGTGCCATCTTATAGCTGTTAAGAGAATCTTGAGATATTTAGTACACTCTTAACTTTGGCTTATGGCATCTTAAGGGCTCAAATTTCAATCTACTTGGGTATTCGGATTCCGATTACGCCGGTTGCAAAGTAGAAAGAAAAAATACATCGGGGACATGTCAATTCCTTAGACGGTCCCTAGTGTCTTTGAGCTCTAAGAAGCAAAATTCTGTTGCGATTTCCATCGCTGAAGCCGAGTATGTGGTGGCCGGTCCATTCTGTGCCCAACTACTTTGGATGAAGCAAACCCTCAATGATTACAGATGTCGCTTTACCAAGGTCCCACTTTTGTGTGATAATGAAAGTGCCATAATGCTTGTGCTTAGTTCTTGAGTGGCTTGTGAGATTATTTGTAAGCTTTATGGCACTTTCATTATCACACAAAAGTGGGACCTTGGTAAAGCGACATTTGTAATCATTGAGGGTTTGCTTCATCTAAAGTAGTTGGGCACAGAATGGACCGGCCGCCACATACTCGGCTTCAGCGGCGGAAAGGGCTACAGAATTTTGCTTCTTAGAGCTTCAAGACACTAGGGACCGTCCAAGGAATTGACATGTCCCCGATTTATTTTTTCTTTCTACTTTGCAACTGGCGTAATGTTAGTTCTTATGTCCAATCTTGTCTCTAGTGGCTATTGTTATGTATTGTTGACTTGTTGGCTAGCTACGAGAGACAAGAAGTCCATGACCATAATCGAAACACTTAGAAATACCTTGAAATATAGACCAAGTCTCTACTCAGTGTCAAAACGCGGAGGCTCCGTGTTTCCTCGTGGAGGTTCTGCGGCCTAGCGCGGAGGCTCCGCGCCCCGTCAGTATGGTTAGGGTCAGGGTTAAAACGAAAAGTTTTTCACTACTCCAATTTTACCCCTCCCAATAACTATCCTGAGTTACTGGGGTCACTTCACCGCGCCGCATCCCGTTCGCTCTTCCTCTCTCGCACGCACTCGCCCTCACCGTCATCTTGGTTCGCCGCCGTCGCGCCGTCGTTCCGCTCCCCTGTGTTGCGCAGACGCACGTGGTGGTGGTGCTGGCGGCTAGGGCTTAGGGGGAGCCTGCAGAGGAGAAGCCGCTCAAGCTGCCACCTGAAGGATTCATCGATGACCGACCAAATCCTTGACTCTCCGGCTGTGCTCTTGGCAGGAGGATGCTCCTTGAGGCTGTCTTCGACTACTACTATCTCTTTCTTCTCCGATTTCTCTCATCCAAGGTGAAATCCTATTTCTACCATGGATTCGATTTGGGTCTCTTTTTCTATCGTTTTTCCTGCGTAGATGTGTTAGTCTTCGTCTTCGAGTGCTGGATTTGACAGTACATTGCGCTAGGTTCGAGTAGAAGGTTGAATCAAATTTAGGGATTCACTCCGCCAGAGCGTGGACGCTCCGGGCCTCTAGCGCGGAGGCTCTAAGCCCGCGTCAGGGCACGGAGGCTCCATGGTCTAGAGGGATTGGATGTCTCAGTTTGATTCAAAATTCCACTCAAACCTCTCTCGATGTTGCTATTATGTTTAAGCACTGTTTCTTATCTTCTCTACGTGTTCTTTTCGTTAGATGGAAGGTGATCTGAGTCAGAGAAATGAGAAGAGGTCGAAGCGCTCCAAAGATCCTGTCTACCACCAGAGCAGAGGAATAGTTGTTCGAGAGCTTGCTGGTGGTGGTGAAGATGTTGGTCAAGGCAGTGGGCAGCAAGGCATAGGTCGAGGCAGCCGAAAAGCTCAACCGAGAAGAGGCCGTGGACAAGGTAGTGGCAGTGGTGTTGGTCGTGGTAGTGCTGGACATGGAGAAGGACCCGCCGATGATGGAGGAAGAGACGGGAAGACCATACCTGCAGTTGGTGCGCCAGATACGCCCCTCGATTCTTAGAGTTTGATCAGTCCTATATGGTTCAACATCAGGGTGCCTCAGTAAGGAGAGAGCCAGTGATCTATAATCATGGAGTCCAAAGGCAGCACAGTAACTATCACAACTTAGGAGTGCAAGTCAAAAGAGATAGGGCAGCAAATCCCTATGCTTGGCTGAATGACAGAGGAATTGATTACAGGTTTTTGTCGCTATTTCAGTTTGACTTCTACAAGACAGTGATTCTTGCCAAGGAGAAGAAAATTGTTCAGATGAAATACATAGATTGGAATCATATTGAGAGCATGAATACTCCAGACTCTAGGAGAGTGATTGAGACAGTGACTGAGCATAGGTTGAAAGATATCATGAGTTTCCAATATGATTGGAACCGAGAGATTTTGGCTTAGTTTCACGCCACCTTCTTTCGTGATGTGGCAAATGAAACCTTCCACTGGATGACAGAAGGTGTTCACTACAAGGTTGACTTCACCACTTTTAGTCGTTTGCTTGGGTTTGCTAGTGGTGACAAGTATGCTGACAGCATCCAAACACAGCCTGTCCTGAAGCCAGAGGACATTGTCTTTGCATATGAGAGGAGGGACTTAGCTGATGGCAGGACAGTGGGTTTGAAGTCGTTCTATTATGCCATGAACCACTTGTTCAGAGAGACTATCAACCCAAAAGTAGGTGACTCCACTTCATTGAGGAAGTATGCCAAGAACTTGCTTGTTAGGATGGCTCCAGGTAGTGATGCTTTCTCTATCAGTAGGTTCATTTGGACTGAGTTGAGCAACTCATTGGATGATGCTAGGAATGACCTTCCCTATGCTCCTTACATCATGTACATCACTGAGAGGGTGTTAGGCATTGAGTTTAAAAAAGATGTGGAGCACAGGCTATACAGGTTGACTCAGTGGCAGCACACAGGTTGGGAGACACTGGTTGGGGCTGCTGGCACGTCAGCTGCAGCAGGAGCTGCACCGTCAGAGAGACCTAACAGCAACAAGCCTTCCTCTTCCCACCACAGATCCAGGGGGAGCAAGCTCAAGGAGTTGCTCAAGAACATATTTTGTATGTGTCAATATGCTGTGGATGCCACTTATGAGGGAAGGAAGGACATCAATGACATGAAGAGGCAGCTGGGACTTGAGGTTAGAGATTCCGCCACCGTCAGTGTCTCCACCCTATGAGGACACTAGTGAGGATGAGGGTGAGATGGAGTATCCACATGATCAGGAGACGCTTGGTGAGAGGATGAACATCCTGAGGCGTGAGAGAGGACAGTCCAGGCCACAGAGGCACACGGCTCCTACTCACAGGGCTGGCAGGGCTGTTGTGAGTGACAGTGACGAGGAGTCTGAGGAGCGAACAGTTTCCACTGGTCAGAGGCAGTCCGACCCTACAGATGATGATGACAGTGATATTGGCAGTGACTGGAGCAGGGGTCAGTGAGCTAGTGCTTTGCCTCTCCTGTTCTTTCTCCCTTTTTGACACTTGACAAAGGGGGAGAGAGACAAGATTGAGTTGATCTTTTGAGAGCTCCGTTTGTGTTGTTGTTGTAGTGGTTTGTGACGCTTAGTAGTGAGTTGTGAGAGTCGATATTTTTTTCGAACTCTTTCTATCTTAGTGGTCTGCAATAATACTTTGATTCGCTTTTGTGTGGTGATTTGTGGTCATAGACATGGATGTAAAGTTTAAATGCTTGTTATAGGTTGCTGGAACTGCTTATCCTTATCTATTACCAGCATGTTTAGATCTATATGGTGATTGCTTATGATTTTGCGATGCCTTTTTTTCTGTTGAAAAAATTCTGAGTATGCAGAACGCGGAGGCTCCGCGCCCAAGCCCGAAGGCTCCGCGGTCT